AAACTTCGCAAGCATTATAAAAGCAAAAAAAATCAATGCAATATACCAATTACCCGAACCCAAGTATCCAAACAGGTACTACCTCTTACTTCTAAATCTGGTTCAAACTCGGCAACCCAAATCTCTTCCTCACAGAACGAAGTTCAAGAGGGGGTCAAAGACCAAGTGGTTGTTCAAGATCCGGAAGCCGGCCCAGGCCCAGCAACCCAAATCTATAGAGAGGAGCAAACTATTATTCAAGAGGTAAAATATGCTCCAGAAAACTATTTTCGATCAATTTACGAAATAGAAGATGGAGTTATAGAAAAAGAGCCACCTACAAAAAATATAGAATTTTTAGAAAGAAGACCCGATCCTAATAGACAACATCAAAATCTTAATTCTATCACAGTATGGGAAAGTATAGTGCCCTCAAACAAAAATTCTGCATATGCTTTTAACAAACGTTTAGACAATCGGATAAAATATGCAGATGCGCCTTACATGCCCCAATTTATGGCTTCAGCACGAAGCTCAATTACAGATATTCTCAAAAAAGAGCTTCGCAAAAAGGATCAAATAAAATCAGCATTAGTCATACATGCCACATATATAAAATATAAATATAAAGGGATGGGCGACTCGACTGATATAAAAAACTATGATACAAGTTATCATCACCCGTATCATAGAAGCAATATGCATATTCTTCTTTCAGAAAATGATATAGACCAGCATTTAACACAATCTGTTGGGGAAATCGATGAAAAGATTGAGAAGTACTTAAAAGAAGAGTCTGGCAAAATTCTTCTTCGATTAGAAATGATATTTATCGAGACATATACATATTGCCGATCTAATGGAGGTTCTTATATTCCAACACCTAAAAAGCTTTCCAATACAAAGTGTACCATTAATCTAGACAATTCAGATATTATAGATCCAGATACAGGCAAGCTTACAGATAATTGTCTCAAAGGTGCATTAGGATGTTATTTTGCAGATAAGGATGGAATTACAGACCACTTAGGAAGGCGTATATATAGAGCAAAAAGCCTTCAAAAATACTTAGATATTGTCAAGCTCGATGGCATTCCAATGCCCACCCCAATCTGTTCACGTATATTTAATAAGATTGAGGAAATGAATCCTGATATCTCAATCAATGTCTGGGAATGGAAAGAAGAAACAGCTACTCCCAAACCGGTAATAGCTAGCAAGAACTTTAAAAGACAACATGTAATTCGTCTACTAGCTCTTACAGATATTAATAAAAATAATGAAACAGGTAAGTATGGGCAAAAGAACCACTTTCTCTGGATCAAAAATCCTAGCAGATTAATATATGGAGATAGTGCACATAAAGCTAAAAAGTATCTATGTGACAGATGTTTTCAAAGTTGGCCCTCAGAAAAATCTTTAAACAATCATTTGGAATGGTGTCCAGAACTAAATGAAGCCCCTCAAAGAGTTACTTTACCCTCCAAAGGGGTTAATGATTTTAAAAATTTTAAAAACTATGGACGAATGATTAATGCCCCATGCGTTATTATAGCTGATTTTGAAGCAGATAACAAGAAATGTAAAGAAGTATATGGAGGGCAAATACAAAAGCTCGCAGAACAGAAGGCCAATAGCTTCTGTTATTTAGTTCACTGGATTGATACTGGAGATGTATGGGGGCCTTTCCTATATAGAGGAGAAAATGCAACCCAGGAATTTGTCCGAAGAATTGATAAGGAGTTGGTCGAAATTAATAAGGTCTTAGCTATTAAGCATGACCGAATTGTGACAGAAAAAGATAAGAAAAAATTTACCGAAGCCGATACCTGTTGGATTTGTAAAGATAAATTTGATGAAGAGAATAATAAGGTCTGGGACCACTGTCATATTAC